TATTTATAATTAACTTGCATTTGAACTCATATGTTGCATTTTTAAAATTTTGTTGTTAATGTTTATAAATTAAGCACTTTACTATATACTTGCTACTTCCCAGTATTACTCTTTAGCAACTGCCCTGAATGAAGATACTGGGTTAGCATACTATAGAAAGAGCACTAAAATTTAACAGCAGTCCACAAACAGGCACCTTCCTTTCGTAGACCAGTAACTCAGGTGCCAGTGTGATACTCTGTATTATGCTTCTACCCAGTAACGTTTAAAATAATGAAAGCAAGAATGGGACATTGTGATATCTTAACCCCAGTTACCTTTTGAATATTGTGAGTTTGAACTTCTTGCCTTCTCAGGAATTTTAATAATGTGTTTCAAAAAACCTGTTGTTGAATGGTTTGGGTGGATTTTGTTTTGTTTTGTTTTAACTCCAAATTAATCTTGTTTTCTCTCTATTTTAATGCATTTCTTTCTGCAAGTCCAAGTGCATAAATTTTCTGGTTATAGGTACACCATTTGTATTATTTACATTATGGTGTAAATTATGTATTATTTATGAAAATTTATGTTAAGTGTGGAGAAACCAACACAGAAAAGGAAGGACATTGTATAATATATTTTATTTTTCTAACTTAAAATACTCATATTTCTGTTGTTATTGTTGTTATTTTATTACTTCAGCAATCTGACCTTATTCCAAATCAACAGAAATTTTATTATATTTGTTTTAAATAGTTAACATTTTGCTTTGGTCAAGCATTTCACCTTTTAAAGAATATTGTAGATTCTCCTCCAAACCCAGACCCCCCAGTTTAATCATGAGAAAAACTTCATACATACACCAATCAAGGGGAAACCTCCACAGCACCTGACTAGTCCACTTCATAGCTGTCAAGGCTGTTAGAACAAGGGAGGTCTGAGAAAATGTCACATCCAAGAAAACAGGTCTCCCACGGCCCAGGAGGCCATATGTGTACACAGGAAAGAACCAGAAAGCCCGGCTCTCCATACCTCCCTGGCTGGCTGAGGGAAAATGTCACATCCAAGCCTAAGGAGGCGTGACTTACTATCATGGGGAATCCTGGGACACAAAAAGGATGTTAAGGAAAAACTAAAGAAATCTGAATGATGTGAGGACTTCTGTTAATAATTTGTTGTTATTATTTTGAGTTGGGGGTCTCACTCTGTGGCTCAGACTGGAGTGTAGTGGCACAATCACGGCTCGCCCCAGCCTCAACCTCCTGGGCTCAGGCGATCCTTCCACCTCAGCCTCTCGAGTGGCTGCAACTATAGGCATGTGCCACCATACCTGGCTAATTTTTTTATTTTTTGTAGAGACAGCATCTTGCTATAGTGCCCAGGCTGATCTAAAACTCCTAGGCCCAAGCAGTCCTCCCATCTCAGCCTCCCAAAGTGCTGAAATTATAGGTGTGAGCCATCACGCTCAGCCAGTTCATTATTATTTTATTGGGTCATTAGCTGTAACCAATGTACCATACTAATGTAAGATGTTGATGATGGAAAACAGGTCTCCCACGGCCCAGGAGGCCATATGTGTACACAGGAAAGAACCAGAAAGCCCGGCTCTCCATACCTCCCTGGCTGGCTGAGGGAGCACGTGTACAGGGAGGTCCAAGAATCTGGCTCCCACAACTCTGCAGCTGACTTGGAGGCTGCCTGTGTGTGAAGGAAGTTCTGGGAAGACCTGGTGAAAAGTCAAAGCCAAGATAGACTTGGAACTATCTGAACTAGGGGAGGGCTCCACAACCCACGCACGTGTCCATCGAATTTTAAAATTTTATTCTACATATTTGTATAGTGATTTTGACATCTATATTATGTTTGCTCCTTTTATGAAAAGTCTTAACTAATGAACAAAATATCTTTTAAATTTTCCTTTCTGAAAATGGATTGTTACCTTTTTTTTTTTTTTTTTTGAGTCAGAGTCTTACTCTGTCACCCAGCCTGGAGTGCAGTGGCACACTCACAGCCACCGCAGCCTCAACCTGCTGAACTTAGGTGATCCTTCCACCTCAGTCTTCCAAGTAGCTGGAACTACAGGCGCACACCACCATGCCTGGCTAATTTTTTTTTACTTATTGTAGAGATGAGATCTCGCCATGTTGCCCAGACTGGTCTCGAATCCCTGGGCTCAGGCAGTCCTCTCTCCTCCACCTCCCAAAGTGCTGGGATTATAGGCATGAGCCACTATGGCTGGATTGTTACATTTTATAATAGTTAGTTTCCCTCTTTATTTTTTTCATTTGAATTTTAGCAGTATAGATTTAGCAGTTAATTTGTAACATAGGCTTGACTGCACTGGTCTTTGGCTTTTGTATCTGCACAAATCCCACACTCAATAGGCTACAAGGAAACTGGGCATTTGACAGTGTGAAGAACATCGTCCTTAGCAGTGATAGCAAATATGGATCAGAACTTTATGCTGTTATTGTAAGAACTTTCTGTATTCCAGTTCTTTCTGTGCAGAACCCCTATATTCTGGTAGATAAACGTTTCAAGAAAAATAGAAGCACACTAATTTTAATGTCTTACATCCATCCGTTCATTCCCTGGCTGCAGATTCCATTCATTCACGAACACCATGCTTGTCCTTGGTAGCACTGGTAGTAGTGTGATGACAGTGAATGTCTCTTCTCTCCTCTGGTTGGTAGTGTCTATGAGGACAGAAGCCATGGTTGTTGTCTTCCTTGCAGCATACCCACCTCTAGTGCAGTAGAAGTGGCCAGTGCCGCACCTGCATCTTCCTAGACTCACCCAATTCTTCTAGCTCTTGACACTGGCCCTCCTTCTCAGGTGGCCACAACTCCCTCCTACACTGTATGACATAGTCTTCAAACCACTCGGCCTGATTGGAAATCCAGAACATAGCCGCAGGGAAAGTGAGGTAAAGTGTCATCCGAAACACCTCCAGCTTCACCCCCATCTCTTTTTTTTTTTTTTTGAGTTGGAGTCTCACTCTGTCACGTATGCTGGAATGCAGTGACATGCCCACAGCCATAGCAGTCTCAACCTGCTGGGCTCAGACGATCCTTCCGCCTCAGCCTTCCAAGTAGCTGGAAATATAGACACATACTACCACGCCCAGCTTATTTTTTGATTTATTGTAAAGACAAGGTCTCACCAAGTTGCCCAGGCTGGTCTCGAACCCCTGAGCTTAGGCAGTCCACTTGCCTCGGCCTCCCAAAGTGCTGGGATTACAGGCTTGAGCCACTGCGCCCAGCCTACCATTTTTTAATATACCTGTTGGCCATTTGTATGTCTTCTTTAGAGAAATGTTTTTTCAGTTCTTTTACCTATTTTTTTTTTAATTGGGTTATTTGGTTTTTTGCTACTGAGTTGTTTGAGTGCCTTATATATTTTGGATATTAACCTTTTATCAGATGTATACTTTGCACATATATTCTCCCCCATTATGTGGTTCATCTCTTCACTCTGATTATTTCCTTTGTTGTGCAGAAGCTTTTTAGTTTATCTGTTTTTGCTTTTGTTGCACTGTTTTCTTCAGGTTTTATCCATAAAAATCTTTGCCCAGACCAAAGTCAAGAAGTGCTTCTTCTATGTTTTCTTCTAGTACTTTCATAGTGTGGGTCTTATATTTAAGTCTTTTTTTCCTTTTCAGCTTATTTTTGTATCTGGTGAAAGACAGGGATCTAGCTTATGGATATTCAGTTTTCCCAGCACCATTTATTGAAGAGATTGTCCTTTGCCCAGGGTGTGTTCTTAGCACCTTTCTCAAAAATCAGTTGGCTGTAAATGCATGGATTTATTTCTGGGCTTTCTATTCTATTCTATTCTATTCTATTCTATTCTATTCTATTCTATTCTATTGGTCTGTGGGTCTGTTTTATGCTACTACCATGCTGTTTTGGTTACTATAGCTTTGTATTGTATTTTGAAGTCAGATAGTGTGATTCCTCCAGTTTTGTTCTTTTTGTTCAAGATACTTATTCTCAGGGTCTTTTGTTGTTTCATACAAATTTAAGGATTGTTTTTTCTGTGTCTATAAAGAATGTCATTAGTATTTTGGTAGGAATTGCATTAAATCTATAGTCACTTTGGATAGTATGGACATTTTAACAATATTAATTATTCCAGTTCTTGAACACAGGATATCTTTCCATTTATTTGTGTCTTCTTCAACTTCATTAATCAATGTTTTATAGTTTTCATCATAGAGATCTTTCACCTCCTTGGTTAAATTCCTAAGTACTGCATATTTTTTGGGAGGTATTGTAAATGTGATTGGTTTTTTAAAATTTCTATTTCAGATGGTTTTCTATTAGCCTATAGAAGTGCTACTAATTTTTGTATGTTGAGTTTGTATCCTGCAGCTTTACTTAATTCGTTTATTAACTCTAATAGTTTTCTGGTGGAGTTTTTAGGGTTTTCTATACATAAGATCACGTCGTCTGCAAACAGGACAGTCTAACTTCTTTGTTTCCACTTTGGATGCCTTTTATGTCTTTCTCTTGTCTAACTGCTCTGGCTGGGACTTCCAGTACTATGTTGAACAGAAGCGGCAGGAATGGGCATCTTGTCTTGTTCCAGAGCTTAAAGGGAAAGCTTTCAGCTTTTCCTTGTTTAGTAGCTTTATTTTTGTTTTGTTAACCCAGCAGTCTGTGGCCTTGCTGAACTCATTCTTTTTAGGAACTTTTTCTAGATTCTTTTGTATTTTCTGTGTAGAAAAATCATACAGCGTGCAAATAAAGACAGTTTTGTTTTGGTGGGTTTTTTTCCCCATTTCAACATGTATCCCTTTTTTTTTTCCCCTTGCCTCACTGCACCAGCTAGGACCTCCAGTACAGTGTTGATAGAATTACTATCGAGTGAGGCACATTTGCCTTGTCCTTGATCTTACGGGGAAGACATTTCATATTTTACCATCAAGTATTTTAGCAGTAGGTTTACCTATATACCTTCATCCGGTTAAGAGAGTTCTTTATTATTACTGATATTTTGCCTTTTTTGTTTTTTAGCAGAAGATTCAGAAAGTGGCGTTTACATGCGATTCATGAGGTCACACAAGTGTTATGACATCGTTCCCACCAGTTCAAAGCTTGTTGTCTTTGATACTACATTACAAGTAAGTGTACCCAATTTTCATAAATTTTTGGTGTATTATTTGGGTGACTGCTTTATTTGGTAAATTAAATCCAGAAATGCCAACAGATATTTACTGAGTCCTTTCCATGCATCAGACACTGTGCTGAAGTTTTGTCTGAATTCTCAGTCTTCATGACAATCTTGGAAGGGAATGTGGTGTGTCTGTTCTCTTGCTACAGATAAGGAAATTCAAATGCTAGCGTTTAAGAACTTAAGTCCCAGCTTAATCCATAGATTCTAGAGTTTAAGTCCTTAATCTGCAGAGCTAGGATGTGATGGGATCTGAAAATTTGAACACAGGCTTGTCTTGATGTGTGTTAGAGCCTGAGCTGTTAGTCACTAAATGGTACTGCCTCCCTCAGTACTTCCTGACTGTCTTTCTTGGCTATCTAGTAGACTATATGATAAATACATTTGAAATAATATTGGTTAAAAAGAAGAAAATTGCTAAGGTGGGTAATCTCTTGAGAGAGAACTTTACTGATCTCTTTTGTGTAAACTTTAAAGCTGATTATTTTAGTATTAAAATGCTGGTGTTGTGCTTATTGCGGTTCAGTTTATATCCATATGACTTATAATCACATATGAAAAATACTAAATAATACACACTATAATGATCAAGCTACATTCAGTGTAATAAAACTCATGTACAAATAGACGCATGTCTATATACATTCCGTGTATTATTTCTGTATCATTACCAAGTAGAATTGTCTTTAGTTGAGTTCCCCAGAAGTAGATGCTGAGCTGAGAACTCATGACCAAGTGGTTTGGGAAGGATGTGCTCCAGGGGAAGCCATGAAACCATCCAAGAAAGGACAAGGCAGGGGAAGATAGCAAGGGCCTGGAGGGTGGCTTGGCCTGAGCCCTCGGGGACTCTGGGCTGTAAGGTGCCCATGCTCTTGCATTAGTTGATTCACCAGGGTCTTCCTGGTCCTTCTGGCTCCTCACACTGCCCCAGAATTCCCCCAGCTGTGGCCTGCTTCCCCCGCCCCCCCCCCCCCACACACACACACTCACACACCTACAGCTCTTCCTCCAAGGACTGCCCAGGCCTGCATTCTGTGTCCACCACACAGGGCTCCCAGGAAGACAAACATGGTTCTGTGTTTATGTAATGTCATTTTCAATTGTTTCTTGTCAACATATGGAAACACAGTTGGGTTTCGTAAATTGGCTTTATATCCTACAACTTTTCTTTTTTTTTTTTTTTTTTTTGAGTTGGAGTCTCACTCTGTCGCCCAGACTGGAGTGCAGTGGCCGCTCCCGGCTACCACAGCCTCGACCTGCTGGGCTCTGGTGATCCTTCCACCTCAGCCTTCCAAGTAGCCGGAATTACAGGCACGCGCTACCACGCCCAGCTGATTTTTTTATTTATTGTAGAGATGAGGTCTTGCTGCCCAGGCGGGTCTCGAACCCGCGGGCTCAGGCAATCCATTCACCTCAGCCTCCCAAAGGCCCAGGATTACAGGCTGACCCACTGAGCCCAGCTTTCTTTTTTTTTTTTTTTTTTTTTGAGTTGGAGTCTCACTCTGTCGCCCAGACTGGAGTGCAGTGACTGCTCCTGGCCACCGCAGCCTTGACCTGCTGGGCTCCGGCGATCCTTCTGCCTCAGCCTTCCAAGTAACTGGAATTACAGGCACGCGCTACCACGCCCGGCTGATTTTTTGATTTATTGTAGAGATGAGTTCTCGCCAAGTTGCCGAGGCGGGTCTCGAACCCGCGGGCTCAGGCAATCCACTCACCTCAGCCTCCTAAAGGCATGGGATTACAGGCTGAGCCACCGAGCCTGGCCCTACAACTTTTCTAAATTCACTTTGGATCATGGAACCTTCAGGGTCCCACATAAAGCCCTAAGATTCTCTGAGTCCTTGATACAAAAAAGGAAGCATCCAAATATATCATAGTAGGGAAAATGGTAGGCAGTCATTTTAGGATGTGTGATCTTTACAACCCTCAATACAGATTCCAATAGTAAAATAACTAGAATTTCTGAATTCCCAAAATAAAAGAACTACTAGCTCAGCCCATTTTACCCTCACCCCCATCTCCCAGAGGACTTACTTAAAGTTCCAGATCTGACTGCTGGCATTTCTCCAGCAGAAAAATAAGTGATAGCTGATTTGACTTTTACCCGACTTTTCATGTATTACTCATTTTGGCTAAATTCTAAATTCAAAAAAGTCTAATGAGTAATATAGGAAAAACGTGAGACTTTATGGATGTTTGAGGTCACTGATCTAGTAAATATCACTTCCCTAATTAATAGAAGCTGTGCATGCATCATTTCCCAGAAGACACTTATCCTGTGAGGCTCTTAGCTTGGAAGGAACTAAAGTGTATTACTGTGGAAATAAGGGAGAAGGTTGTTAGGCAATAGTTAGAGCAAAGTAAAAGATGTATTTGAAAGGGGACAATTTTATAGACATGGACTGCAGTAATAGTCATTGACATGCCCTCGAGAGCTAAGAAAATAGCAGAGTCCCAAAAACAACCTGAATGCCTGTCACTCAGAGATTGGTTAAAGAAATCCTGGTATAGGCATATAATAGAACACCATTAACAAGAATGAAAAAGGTGTCAAGAACTTGTTTACTTAAAAAAAAAAAAGAGAGAGCTGCAGAAGTTATTATTCTGAGAGTCCAAAGTAATCAGAGCCGTAACTGGTCTGGGGCCAAAATCAACCATTTGCAAGGAAGCTAAAGAAGGATGGACAGGCAGGAACAGGAGAATAGAGCTGACATGCGGAGGAGAGTAGAATGCAAGGTGGTGCCACCACCGGAGTGGGAGAGGAAGAGCCGCTCATCTGTCTCATCCTCAGCTTTTCCATTTCCAACTGTGGTTTTCTGAGAGGCCAACTTGACTTCCTATAGTTCGGTTCCATGCGATTTGAGATTTCCAGAAGCTTCATACTGGGATTTCCCCAAGGATGATGTGGATCTGTCCTTCTGACCATTTGTGTCCCTAAAGTGGAAATCAGGTGCTCCAGTGGATTCTGCCGCTGGGGTTGTCTGCACCACTTACCTCAAGAGCCATGCTGTCCAGTGCTAGCAGGGGCCCGCCCGACAGGAGAAGCACCTGTGAACCATGCCCAGTTTTTTTCCCCCATCCATCAGTTGTTATAAAAAGCTCCCAGAAAATGAATGTCAATCAAGGGCAGTGAGGTGATGCTGCAGGCACCAGTGTCAGAGCAGCTTGAGTCCTCTGCTCATGCATGGGCCTGGACAAACTCCGTCTCCACCTGCAAAAGAGTGCTGCTGTGCATGCCAGTATCTGGCTTGTGGGGCAGGTAGTTCTGTGTTCACGGTGGGGTGCTCAGGTTGCATGGCCACTTGCATCTCATGGCTAGGTGTTCAGTCTCTGTTAGGGACTGTAGTAAGCCAGGAACTGTTTCCCAAAAGGAAAATGATTATCTCCAGGAGGGCATGGTTGTTTGGGACTTTTTTCCCCTTCCCTAACCCTTGATGTTTTCCCTGTACATGTTTTATAGATAGAGCCTTCATACAACTTCCCTAGGATTGACCTTGCTGGGTCGTAAAGCCATATGGAAGAGCAGTCTGGATTTCCTATGCAGTCTGATCTTGCTCTGGTTCGCTCTGAAAACAGCTTTTAATTTTTATTTTTTTGTTTTTGTAGAGACAGGGTCTTGCTACATTGCCCAGGCTGGCCTCAAACTCCTGGGCTCAAGCAGTCTTCTGCCTCAGCCTCCCAAAGTGCTGGGATTGCAGGCATGAGCCACCATGCCCTGCCTGAAACAACTTTTAGAGTCCCTCAAGACATGTGTCAAAGTAGCCTACACAAACGTGGTACGTGCTGCCTTTACAAGGCCCACCCAGTGTTATGGATGGCAGGTGGTGAGTGGAGCAGCAAGTTGCGTTTCACCCTGAAGGGGTCTTTCCAGTGCTCCACATGTCACAGAGGCACCTAAAGCCCCACCACTTTCTGCCTGTCCAGTCCAGGGATCACATGGCCTCAGTGTATATGACAGCGGCAAAATGTGAAGATGATCTGCTTCTCCAGACCGTCATCAAACACACGTAAAGGGAGCTACATCTAGGGGGTAGACTGGTATAGAGAAAAAGAGTATGTGTCTGGGCAGTGGCTTTAGGTTCCCCAAGGTACGACATTGGGAACAACTGCTGCAGTTATGAGTTCACAGGAATCCACAGCCCTTCTCGAAGATGCAGACATAGGCCAAATGGGCAGTTTCCCTGGGGCTGTGATGGTGAACCTCCTGCCTCTCTCAGGTCCTTCAGTGGGGCACCAACCTCTGCAGTTCCACCACTGCATCTGGTTTTTGTTAGCCTGGTAGCAAGAGGAAGTTCCAGAGGCTTCCATTTGGCCCTTCCACCACAGTGTCCCCTACTCTGTGGGTCAGAGAGCCAGTGGAGGAATTCTGCCATTTGTCAGGTATGTCGTTTCCAATTTTATACCTTCAAGAACTGAAAAGAAGCCGGGCTCGGTGGCTCAGCCTGTAAGCCCGTGCTTTGGGAGGCTGAGGTGAGTGCATTGCCTGAGACCGCGGGTTCGAGACCCGCCTGGGCAACTTGGTGAGACCTCATTTCTACAATAAATCAAAAATTAGCCGGACGTGGTAGTGCGCACCTGTAGTTCCAGCTACTTGGAAGGCTGAGGCGGAAGGATCGTCGGAGCCCCCAGCAGGTCGAGGCTGCAGTGGCCAGGAGTGGCCACTGCACTCAAGTCTGGGCGACAGAGTGAGACTCCAACTCAAAAAAAAAAAAAAAAAAAGAACTGAAAAGAGCCAGCACAGGGCTCACACTGGTAATCCCAGCTACTCGGGAGGCTAATGCAAGAGAATCACTTGAGCCTAGCTTGGCCAACACAGCAAGATCCCGTCTCTAAAAATAAATACTTTCTAAAAAGGAACTCAGGAGGTAACCACAGCATGGGTCTGTGGACCTACTGCTCTTATATTTCAAGCTTGAGCTAAGGCTCTGTGACCTGATGACCATACCCCTA